TTTATAAAAAAAAGCGCGCTTGGTGCATTCTAATTTAACTTTTTCTAAAATAAGACCATCATTATTTCTAGTATTGTAGCGGTGAATGTCGCGAATTCTTACATTAAAATAATTAAAAAGATATCTGGGAACTCTATTTGCAATGCACTCATTAACAAATCTAAAAATATGTGTTCGTCTTCTATAATAGAGGGGTTCCCAGCCCAGTTTAGTCATAGCTTGATCAGTTGTTAGTTTTGAGGCATCTTTGGAGTATACGATCCTCGCTGCTTGTCGCTGTAGTCGTTCAATCTTGTCACTGTTTCCTTGCCCACATTCATGCCACACAGTATCACAATAATCTAGAACCGGGAGGACCATGGCTTTATAAAGTCTATTTGCAGCTTCTAGCGTTAGTGAAGGTCTTATTCGTGAGAACATACCGAGTATCTTAGATACCTTGATCCTCACATAATCCACGTGGTCATTAAAGGAAAGGGTGCTCTCAAGAACGACACCCAAGTACTTAAAAGTGTCCGTATGCTTAATTGACTGTCCATTGGAGCTTATATCAGTTTCATCACACGTATGAGGAACCCTGTCTTTATTTGACGCTGATTATTATGTTTTTTCTCTGCAGAGACTAATCAACATGAGTATGTACGACAAGCAATTGTATGCAAACGTCGAGGATTTAACAGTGTAGTTTGATGCACGTCCACGGTGTAAGATCGGCTAACGATTTGAACACTTTGCCGCAACAAGTTTCAGGAACTAATCATCTATACCTTAAACGATTACGTTGTTCTTTTTATATTCTTAAACAGTGAACCGCTATTATATGTTTTCAGTTGCTTTACCGATAAAGTATACTCTCGTATTTCTCGTTGACTTGTTAAGCACTTACACGTATGCTCGACTTAATTAAGCGTTTGTGATTGGTTTATTTCAAGCTAAATTCTGAAAGGCACGACAGCGTTCTGACATCAGATGACGCGTTTTTGATATCTTTGTATTGTAACCGTATCTTCCAGGAAAGAATCGTATTTACCAGATTGATCTCGCTCGGAAGGCCTTAGTTTTGTACATTTTTTAATTAAATATAAGAAGCGTTTTTCCGCGAAACCCGCCTGTCTGGAGTAAAGCTATCGTGCGCATAATATTGCTTTCCCTAAGCCTATATTTGTTTGCGATAGCCACTTGAAATACTATTACAATGAAAGTATAAGTAAAATAAGCAGAATCTTTTTAAAACGTTACTTACACGTTACTTCTGCATGAGAATATTTTCAGTATTTGGCCAAAAAACCCAATAGTTTTAGCATACTAGATACTACTTCTTTTTCTGGTCCGAGGTACGACTTTAAGCCTTTTTGCTAGGACACGATGTTAATTTGGTATTTTTAAAATGTTTTTATAATAAAAAATGTTGAAAAGTTGGGAGGTGACCCTGTCTGTATGACGAAGCTGTACAGAAGTGTACATCTTTCACTTTAAAGACATCAATCTAGTATAAGCTTATTTCTTAATTTTTTGTCTCACTGAACTGAGTTTCTGTAGAAATGCGTAGTAGAGTGGAAAGTTTGATGATTAAGGTGAGAAACTATTTCCTTTTGAACTGAGAAAGCATTCGTATTGTGCGATTTTAGAAACAATGGCATTCAGAGACTGAAATATATGCAAAATGGCAATATTATGACTCATACCGCAGCATGGGTATGAGTGACCATCCTAGAACCGAAAACATCAAAGTCGCAAACCTCATTTTTTACCTACTAGATAAGTAGGGTTTATTACGGCGAGGAACGCTTTCATAAGTTTCATGAAAACGCAGTACACATGTATGATTTTCTTTCATTCAAAATTGATTGATTTATATCCCTTCAACGGGTTTGTTGGCTCAGTTGGTAAAGCACTGCACCGGTGTGGCGGCGATCATGGACTCAAATCCCGTTCGGGCCTGATTTTTTTTCAGGCCTTATTTTCCACCTACTAGATAAGTAGGGTCTATTACTGCGAGGAACGCTTTCATACAGTCTTTTGTAAAGTTACAAATGATCAAATCTGTCAAAAAAGCAAACTTTCGCTGATAAAAAAATGAGGAAATTCTTAATTTCAAAGTAGAGAGAACCTCTAGAGGCACATGTAGAAAAGAGTGAAGAATGATACCCTGTGTGATGCAGGGTATGTGGGCTATACTCGTGGTCACTTACACGAGCGCGTAGAAGGGCACAGAAGGAAATCATCTTCTATCTACAAACACTACCACCTCCAGCACAATAGTGAAATGCCTGAACGCTTGATCGAGCAATTCAACGTCATCACGAAATGTAACGGCAAATTTGATTGCCTTGTTAATGAAATGTTGTATATTCGCATGCGTAAGCCAACACTGAACGTGCAAACGGATTCCATCCGCGCCAAGGTGTTTGTTTAAGCCGTTCAGTCTAATTTATGCTATTCTTGTACCTTTCCTTATTTGCATGTTTTTAAACTAGTCTCTTGATAATGGAGTCACGATGACCCCGAAACGTCGAGTAATAAATCTTTCCTGGTTTTTTCTATGCCTTTGCTTTAGCAAATCCCTGCTGTACAACACGCGTCGACGCGGCCGTCGATTTGTAGAATCATGGTTTGAAATCGTAACTTCCCTGAGCCTTTTTCGTAGACCTTTGAGAGTGGGGAAAGAGTCATTCGACGCCTTACCAAAACGTTACGGTCAATTACGAAATATGATGACCAGTTGAAGGGTATCTGTCAAGGAACAATAGATTTTCTCGCCCGACAATAAATTGTAGCCTCCTTACTGTAAATTTTTCTACAAATTATACATAAAATTGTTCCATACCCGTGACACTTTCTATCTACCGCGCGTAATGAGTGCCAGTACAGGCATGAATGGGGTAAGTTTTGCCCATCATATCTCGTAAACAAGCAAGGTAACAAATCTTTTTTTTTCATTTTCGAAACAGCCATTGGTAAGGAACATTTAAGGAAAGTTAAGAAAACAATTTTTCGATAATTTCTTTTTTTCCGAAGAATCATCTTAAATGCAGTCGTGTCATAAAGAAACGTGCCGTGGAATGAATTAGGACTGCCGTCTATGATGTAGGAAGTTCAGCCCTCTCATGAGTACTTTTTGACTGCTATTTGTTTCACTCCTTTAGCAGGTAAGTAAATAATTGTTATTTTGGTCTTGAAATGTTCCTTTAATCATTGACGTAATCGTTTTTAAATTACCACGATGTGATTAAAAATTCACTGAAAAATTACCTTGAAAAATAGTTTGTCTCTATCCGATATGGGTGTATTTCACGTCGCTTTATCATATCACTGAAATATTTAATTGAATATTGAATGAATCCAACTGGTGTTTCAAATAAAGCTAAGGTCCTCACTGGCAAGCAGCAATCTAAGCATTGCAGAAAAAGAGCCTGAGAAATATCAGGCTTAAATGGGATTTGAACCTGTGCCTCCCAGTTATTGTAGTTTCGAACGTCAAGCAAAAGAGCTGCGATGCCGCAAGTTTGCTAAGTGTTTGAACACTTTGTTTCAACAAGTTTAAGGAATCCAGGAAAATTATCTTTGCGTTAAACGCTTTTTGGGTAGAGCAAGCCATGTTGCGCTAGGCGGTTAGGCTAAATTTTGTTTAATTTGATTGATTTTATTGTCTGAAACGGTGGATTAATGTAATAAATGTTTGCTTTCTCGACAAATATACTCTCGTTTCTCCTCCTTTTTAAGGCACTAAGTTGTCAGTTGTTCGCTGATACTCTCAAACCTCTCGCTTGTAAAGTACAGCTGGTTGTCATCCAAACGATTTGACATGCCGAGTCTCTTGAAAACCGCAAAAGATCATAGATATAAGGTTGAACAGCGGCGGACCATATACTGAACCCTGTGGTATCATTTATTCGTGTGCATGTTTCTCTCCCATGCCGGAGGTACATGTGCAGCAGCAACATCACGGTAAAACTTACCACTCATTTTAAATAAACTGGACATTGTAAACTCAACTTACAACAATTGTTCAATCCACTGTGATGATACCATCGGCAAAGGTTGTCGAAACGTCACAAATCCTCAACGACAGCAGTTTTTCTCAGGACTATTCGCTCACCCGGACGATCACTCCAGCCGATCGAAATGTTCACAGAGAGCTCAAAACTTTTACTATGTGCGATTTTCACTCATTTACTCTTTTGCACAAGTATTTGAAACAAGTAAGCTTCCATCTTTCTTTGTAACCTAAACGACGACCTTATTCATGTTACAACTGAGATAAAGTTTGAAACTCCGGGAATATCACTTGGGAAAAATCAAACACTTCACGACTAGGCTCTTTATTCTCAGTTCCTATTAACTCGATCAAAACCATTGTGTTCTTCATTTTGTGTAAAAACCACCCTTTTGTTGCGTTAACCCTTGCTTATTTATCGGCACTCAGCAGAACCCAGGCACGGATCAAATGGGATAATCCTCGGTGATAAAACTATCGTACCATGAAAGGCGAAGAGAACTATGGGTAACTTTAATTACGTAGTCTTTCTTATGTCACGTAGGAGGAAATAAGCTGAAACTATAACTGGAAAACAGACATTTTGGCTCA